GCCTGTAGTCTGAGCTACTTGGGAGGCTGAGGCAAGAGGATCACTTGCACCCAAGAATTTGAGGTTGCTGTGAGGTATGGCGCCAAGGCACTCTACTGAGGGCAGCAAAGTAGTGAGACTCTCCAAAAAAAAAAAGAAAAGAAAAGAAAAGAAAATGATGACCATTTTTAATAAAATGGGAAGATAAGTTAGTATTAAAATAATGTAGTTAAAATAGGAAAAAGTCATAAGGCTGGAAATTATATTCTGGAAATATTTAAATTAATACATTTATATTGTGTCACTAGGACCCAGTACCACAACGGAAACAGAAACAATTGCCAAATATGAAATAATGGATGGTGCACCAGTAAAAGGTAACACACTTTTCAGGTACTTCTTTTGTATAGTGCATATAGCAGTTTGTGGCATTTAATTTATACTTACTCAGTGTGAAAGTATTTGTGAATTCTTAAAACTGTTCTTAAAATAATGATTTTTAAAATCATCTTTGTATAGCTGCTAAGAAGACAGCAATCAAATGTCCTAATCTGAAATAAGGTTTAATTTTTCACTCAGTTTAAATTTAGGATTTAGGAAAGATAGGTATATATATGAAGAGAGAAGGTTCTGAATTTATATTAGTGTTATCGTCTGTTATAATAGTTGACCTTTGTTAATCTTTTTTCTCATGCTGACCACAGATGCAATATGGCAGAGCATTTATTCTTGTGGGATTCTGGAGTTATTATAGCCCCATGAGAAAATAAGTAGTTCCATTACTGGATAATTTGTGGTGTCTGAGACAATAAAGCCAGTGTTTATTATTTAAAATTTTTATGTCTTTGGGTTTTTCTCATGACTTCAGAAAGTAGCTACTATTTATTGTGTACCAATTGTAGTCTCAGGTGCTTTAAAGCTCCTCTCCTTACCACTCTGTGAATTAGGTGGTTATTCCTTATTTTGCAGATGAAGCTGAGAGAGGTTAAAAAACTAGCTCAAGTTGATGTAGCTAGCTAATCATTGCAGAATTTAGGTTTGAGCCCAGTTCTTTCCATGACCCATGTATGATGTGTATTCTTATGTTATGTGACATTACTTTGTAAAATTCCAGCAGCCACAGATTTTCATGTAAAAAATTTTTACGTAAAATTTTTATGTCTTTCAACAAATATATGTACGTGAGGAAAGTATTCAAAAGAATATGCCAATAATTGCCTTCAAGAAACTAGAAGCAATAAGAATATGAATGGCAGTATTTTGGTTATGAAGAAATATCATCATTTGTTGCTTTGGATATATTAGTAATAAGCATTTAAGAATTTATATTCATGAAAGAGGAAAATAATAAAGCTACTCATATAACACTTACCTGCTGCCACTGTTTTTTATTAACCCGTATAGTCCTTACAGATTCTCTGTGAGTACTATTGTTATTCTTCATTTCACAGATGAGGAACTTGAAATAGAATGGTTAAGTGATTTGGCCAAGGTCACACAGCCAGTGAGTAGTACAGTGGAGGTTTAAAGCCAGGCATTCTGGCTCTAGAGCAGTAGTTCCCATCTAGAGGCACCTTGTTTGGGGACTTTTTTGGCTGTTAGGCCTGGAGGGTGCTGCTGGCATCTAGTGAGTAGAGGCCAGGGATGCGCTAAACATACTACAGAGGATAAGGGCTTCCCTACAGCAAAGAATTATTGGACCCAAAATGTCAGTGCTGCCTGAACCTGAGGAACCCTGGTCTCTGTTATGTTGTACCTCATGAGAACTAAAGCATTAGTGCCTATAATGCTTAGTCCCAAGTGTTATATGTTATATTTAACCATCTTTTAGAATTAAATGGAAATTCCTTTTCTTTCAGGTGAATCAATTCCAATAAGACTATTTTTAGCAGGGTATGACCCAACTCCAACAATGCGAGATGTGAACAAAAAGTTTTCAGTAAGATACTTTTTGAACTTAGTGCTTGTTGATGAGGAAGACAGAAGGTACTTCAAGCAGCAGGTATGGCACCACCTGGGCTGGTATTTTGTTATGTGGCAGATCTAGAAACAACAATAACAGAGAGTATTTACTTTGAGTGAGTGAGAGTGTCTAAATAAATGAAACCACTGAAGATATGATAAAGAGGCTTGTCGGCGCCTGTGGCTCAAGTGGTTAAGGCGCCAGCCACATACACC